TACTATACAAGATTTCTTCATGAAGATGTTCTCAGTTAATCACTTCCTCACATGCTTATTAAACACTATAGAAGTATACAGAGTAAAAAGTGACCACCTCCTCCCCAAAAAGTGGCTACCTCCTCAATAACGGTCTTAACATTTTATAAAAATAGGAATATTCCATACTTATTTGTTCTCTAATGTGACTATTTAAAATAACAATGGACATATTTCTATATCGTCGAATAGAGATCCACTACATTCTTAACAGCTTAGTGATAGTATTCCACTGTGTAAACCGACCATACGTTATTTAACCAGTCCCTCAATGATGGATTTCATTTTTTTTTTTTTTTTTGCTATAACAAACAATCCTATAAAGAAAAATTCTGTACTTGTAGTTTTCGTGCAAGTGTATGAATATATCTGTAGGACAAATTTTTAGAAGTGGAATTAGTGGGTCACATGGTATACACATTTTAAATACCAATAAACTCTAAGAAAACTTACATTCCCACCAACAGTGTATGAAACTTCTCTATATCCTCATCTACTACTATCATCAACATGTTTAATCTTTCAATCTGATAGGTAAAAAGTGGTAAGTATGTTTTATCTTATATTTATTTAAATGATTAAGATTCCTGAATTTATATCTTAAATAGATTTTGAATTTATTATTAGTTGTAGGTTAAGCTGAACTGCCTGAGGAGGGAAAAAATATTCAAGAGGCACATTAGCAGTATAACTGGGGAAACTGGTAATGTTTAACCAATTTGAGATTTTAGCGTGAAGTAGACAATAAGGCCAACCACAAATGAGTTTAATCATTTCATTAAAGCACGCTCACCTTTCACTTGAAATGCACTGTTATCAATTCAAGCTGTGCCATATATTTTAGAAATGTTTCTTTTAAAAGAGTATAATCAATTCTATAGTCATGTATTCACTGTCTCACTTTTACTTACTCGTAACACTCCTTCATATTAGTCCACTTTGATGACATTTTACTTTTTTGTTGCTTATTAATCTGCTCTTCGACCTCTTTTAGATGTTAAAGCATGAGAATATAATTAGCATCTAGCCAAGAACTTCCAAAATAACTAAGACAATTGATATAGGTAGTTGTATGAGAACATAGCAAAGGAGTAAAGGTGAGCAAAACACTAATACAGCCCCAAAGACTCTAAAAACGCTTATATAAATGAGATGTCCTCTGTTTATCAGTGCTGATTCGCTGTCAAAGGCTAGATGTCTTTGATCATAATGTTATTAGTAGTGAAAGCTGAACTGAACTATTCCCACATTTCCTTACCTAATATTCTTTGTGACCACCTCCAGGAAATGGTTTTTGTTAGGGAGACTCTAAGCAGATCTAACAGGAATTGTGACCTTATTATCCTAAGAAATCAGTATCTATAACTGCAAAAATAAGTACTACAAATTACCTAGCACTCTAGAAAGGTTTTTGGCTCAAAATTGATAAATCAGTAAACCCACCTTTCCCCTACTTTCAATTCTCAATTAAAATTTATATTCCTTTCTAAACAAACTGATCCTTATTACTTTAATTCAAAGTCAAAAGCTGTTGCTACTTTAATATGCCCCCGTGGCCTATTCCAAGTGAGCACATGACAGATACTACACATCATCTTTCCCATGTTAGAGACTGAAAGAGATAGAGCAGGGGGCAGGAAAGAACAGAACACAAAGGTGACAAAGTGCTAAAGCCAAGCTATAAATTATCTTTTGGTCACTCACGGCTATATTTTGCAAAAGCTGACACAAAGGTTGGGCCTATCCTCTCTTTGGAGAGATACGAGAGTCATATAAAAGCATCTTCCTAACTCACTAGTGATAGTGCTGCCCTCCCACTCCTCACATAACGTGCCCAGTAAAAGAAGGACTGCTAGATTCTAAAGACAATGACAAGAAGCTCTATATTCTGACAATGGGAGGGAGCAGTGAAGACCAGATTTCTGGGCTGTAAACTATGCCAGACTGGCCTGCTAATCCTCCCCAAATCCCACAACGTTGTTGTGGGGGTGGGGACAGAATGGAAAATAGTCCAAAGTTGAATCAAGGACAGTTGCTCTGGATTACAGGAGGTCATGACATTCCTATTTGAATGGTGGGGCGAGGCGGCAGGGCAGGGGCAGGGCATATACAAAAACCTGTCCATTTATAAAAACACAAAAATAAATTTCAGCCCTGATCCTTCTGATGTGCTAACCAACATCTGCCCCCAATCATTTGCCAGCCCAGGCTGCACGGAAGGCACAGAGTAGCAGGCATTTTCACACAGTGAGGTTGGAAGAGATGCTACTAGAGTGTAAATTACTAATTAGCTCAATAGAAGACAAAGAGAGAAAATACCTGTCACAGAATGCTGTTTACAACATGACATATAATAAAAACAATTCTGAAAATTTCAGAAGAGTGCCTTACTTTTCAGACTTCTATTAACATGTAAATGGCAAAGGAACAATATTATAGTCTTTAAAAACTGCCCATGCCTCAGCCTCAATAATGCATGACTGAGAAGAATGCTTTCTAAATAATTTGTAATTTTCTCATCCTTATGAAAGCAAAGTGTTTTTAATTATTACAATCAGCTCTAATAAGGAGCTATATTTCATCACTTTGATGATCACTTAAAGGTTGGGGAGAAGTGCAGTATTTTACATTTGTTAGAATATAGCTAATAGTCCTTTCACTAAAATGGGACAGGCCTCATTGTGTATGTTGCACCTTTATCAAAAGGACAGGCTATCATATTAATAAGACTGAGGATGAACTGGAAGGTGGCAATGGGGATGCAATAGGTTAAATCTCCTTATACAACAGACTCCTAAAATGTAGGTTATTTTGAGGGAGGTAATAAGGGTGTTGCATATTTATACTCATTCCCATACCGTAAGGCAAACCCATTTGTATTAATTGCAACCAGTATTCTTAAGGCATGACATTTTGCACTTAGATCTTTCCAGCTCCTTGAAACTACATAAGGATCTTCAAAATATACGTGTCTTACTCAAGGTGTTGAACAGCCCTGTGGCTCCTGTTTTCACATAATAATCACCCATACATCCTCAATAGCAAGCATATCCTAAGGATTCACTCATGTGTGAGCACATCATACAAGGTGCTAAGGAGGTCCCCAACAGAGGAATACACTAAGGACACAGTTTTTGCTAATGAGGGAGGGGCCTACAAACTCATCATTCACAGGTAAAAGAATGTTTTTCAGAATAGACTGAAGACAGCAAACCATAAAACTGCAAAATCTACTCTAAACCCAATCTTGAGATTTCTTTGCTTCACATGCTTGATTAAAATCAAAATCATACCAACTTGCTGATACACTCAAGACAGTCTTCCCTTCTCTCTTTAAAATTAAGGCCTTTATATCTTTTTTTTTTTCCTTCAAATTTACTTGTTTAAAAATATTCACAAGATAAAATGAAAAAGCAAATGGGGCAAAATGAAAACAACTGGTGAATTTGAATAAGGGTATATAGAAGTTCCTATACCATTTTTGCAACTTTCCTAGAAGTTTGAAACATTGTAAAAAAATCAAGTCATCAAAAAAATAGAGTATTAACAACAGATGTTCTCTCATGGGGTTGCTGTGAGTTTCAATCAATTGACATACTTAGTTCATGCTGGGCACTTAGTAATCCCTAATTATTAGATTTTTTTTTAAGAGTGAATCAATTGTAACAAATGAACCACTCTGGTAGATGTTGATAATGGGGGAGGCTATGCATGTGTGGGGACCGAGGGTAAATGGGAAATCTCTGTACCTTCCTCTCAGTTTTGCTGTGAACCTAAAACTGCTCTAAAAATCCAGTCTTAATTTTTAAAAAATGAGAGGATCAATTCATTTAACCAAATTAAAACATGTGTTCTTAGATTATTATCTATATAGGCAAACGAAGAGAAGATAGTAAAAATTCAGCAAGAGTCTGAAGAGATATTGCTTACAGAGATATTGCACTGAAATTTGAGTTCCATTTTTCCTCAATGGAAAATATTATCAACTACAAACCTGTAAGGTATATAACAAGTCCAGGGTCTTTCTCTAGCTAAAAAGGTAGACAGGTAACCATTAATCCCCAATGCAGGTTAGGCATTTTTTTTTTCTGGTTTTGGGTTGTTTTATTTTATAAGTACAATTTGATAATTAAAAAAATAGGAGCATGTAAGAACCCTGATGTAATCTTTGCATTAGACATCACCCTTATGGTGTTTGTCCCAAGTTTCCAATCTATAAAGGACTTGAGAAACAGTTAATAACAGAACTACAGGGATAATTAAAGGACTCACAAACAAGACCTGTTAAGGGATTAAAATAAACCAGCATGGTGAGGGATGACTTCACAACAGTCAAGAAGAGATAATACCAGAGCACAGTGTATCAGAGCACAGACTGCCTGCAAAATACCAAAGTTCGAATCCTATCCCCACCACTCTGTAGAATTCTCCCTTATGAAAGAAAAAAGATTTAATGTAGCAGTTAGTTATTACTTGACAAGAAACCTAAGTATTATTTATACTGAAAGATTATCAGCTATCAAACAAGTAGCTAAAGAAATGTCTCGAGTACAAACTTGGGCAAATCAATTAAGCTAAGGGGGCCTGTTTTTTCACATGTAAAATGGGAACTGTAATACTGCCAAACTAATGGGATTGCTGTGAGGAGTAAACGAGTTACAAATCTGCGAAGGGCTTACAACTGTGTCTGGCATAAAAGCACTATACATGGTAGCTACTACTATTAAGTTTATGAAGAACTAGAATTTTCTTAATACTATATATAGTAAGCAGATCTTTTTACTCAAAAAGTTGAGAATAGGGCAAGGGAGAACAAATACAAATATAGATTAAGTGTAGCTGGTTAGACAGAAGCCAGACTCTCCTTATAGAGGAAATAATTAAATGCTAGAAAAGGTTATCTACAAAGGTTGCCACATTACCTCTGAAGATTTACAAAAATAGGATAAATTTTTATCTACCTGGGATGATTTAAGTGGGATATTGACTGAAGTTGCAGGATAAACTAGAGGTCCTTTCAAGGTTTCTTCCCATCCAAAGAATCTACGATTAACCAGAAAAACATTTAATTATGTACAACCTACTTATTCAAATCTGAAAATATAAACTTTAAAGTTTTTTGCTTAGCAAATAAAATTATAAACAAAATAAAGTTCAATTGAGTAGAATTCTAGTTGATGAATGAAAATAAAGCTTAATAAAGGTTAAATTTATCCTTATTGATAAATAGTATTAGTTGAACTAAAAGATTATCTCTTTTCAGTTTTAGGAATATCAACTGAGAAATAACCATTAACAAAGAATTGGTGATTTAGTACACTATGGCAGCATACAGAAACAAAAGACTGGACCCGAACAGACTTTCTCTTGGTTGATCTTATAGTTTATATTTTCTTCTTCATCAATATTAAATAAGTCTAAAATAATATATATAAAGATACAAAGTATAAAACAATTATACTATTAAAATGTCAATACCATACACGAGTACAACTTCGTAGTAATGCCAGCCCAAATACATCTGTAAAGGAAGGGAATATGCACACACATCTCACAGAATAGATAATGCATACTAAAGTTACTCTTTAGCTTGAAAGTTAACATCTTGGAATAATCCTCTGGAAACTTAGCAGCAAAAACAGTAATTTAAAAATATCCTCTGTTAAATTGCTAAATCAATCTAGTCACCTTAAACACATAACAGAAGTCATGAACAGTTAACAGCTGAATTCAGAAAGATTTAAGATTCTAAATTATTCATATATATTAATAACCAATGTTTCTGATATCCACAAGTCGAAATTGAATCTTTGCTATTACAAATGCCTTCAACCTAACCTTTGCTATTTATACAAACACCCACAAAATAGTAGCAATCCAAAATTTATGCAACTTTGAAAAACAAAGTATCAGTGTATCTGAATGTACACTAACAAAATAACCTCAAGTAAGATTCTCAAGAACAGTTTGTATTTTTTCCCTAAGTAAATTACATGCTTTCCTTTGGCACCAACAAATGCAAAGTAACAATCATTCATATCCTTAGCTAAATGTAAAAGCTTCAGAATAAAAATCATCAAAAGAAAATACAAAGTAAGAATAAGCTAAATTTTGTCCCAAGTTCCTTATCTTCCTTTTAATTTCCAAGTGTCTTAAAAATCAAAAGCTTCTAGAAAATTAATATTAATATGGCATTTATTCGCAACCACAAAACAGGAGAGGCAGTGGAGCTGGCCAAGGCTGCAGATTACATTATCTGTTTTTCCCCATGATAAATATTACTCATAAATTCATTATTTAAGCTAAAAGATAAATCTCATTCCAAAATCCTCTATATTCTACACATCTTCCTTTCTTCATTCCATTTTGCTAAGGGGGTACGTTACCTACTACAGTATGAAATGTCCCACACAAAGCTAAAGGCACTTCAGAAGCCCTGATTTAAATCTCTTCCCCAGCAAACTTTGCTGGTTGGTTATTTGCCTGTCTCTGAAATGATTTCTCAACATTCTCCAACCACCCCCCCCCCAAAAAAATCTGGTTGATTATCAAAACAAAAAGATTTTCATCTTTATTTCAACAACAGTAGGCCCTCCGTTGAAAATGAAAACACTGTCAATAAAGCACTCTGCCCAGTGCTTGTCAGGTAGGACACTGCTACAACATTAACACTATCACACTACAAAGGCACAGCCACCCTGGAAAAAAATACATCCCATTATCCCACGATCACACCCGTAGTGAAATACAGATTTTCAGCACTGAGCTGACACTTTATCATTCAGACAAGAAGAAAATCAAATCAAACTGGGTCTCATCTTTTCAAAGTGGACATGAAAGTCAAATTAAAAGCAATGAAAGGTAGAAGCAGATTCAAGATTCCTTGAAGAGAGAAAGAGGTTTCTGGAATTTCCTACTTTTACAGACAAAAGGACTCGCAGTTTTAACACACAGTTCTCTTCTCAACAAAGAATTCCTTTCCTGCACCCCCCACCTCCACTCTTACTTCTTAGTTTTTACCCCTATCTCTAAGCCTCTTTTCACTCACCATGGTTCCTCCTCTTCTCCACCAAAGGCTCCCTACACTTGATCCTTCACTACAGCGTCTGAGCCGTGACCCACGCAGACCTTCTGGAGTATCTCCCCACAACATGCACATTTGATTCCCACCCCTGCGCAGTTCACTCCAGTTCTCCATCCATCAGGACTCCCCCAGCTTCCCTTAACCCTGTTCTCTTCCCTCACTCCTTATCTCGTCCTTTAAATCCTGGGGTCAATCTCTTCCTTGCTCCTCTCACTGTCTGCTTTTAGCCCTGTCTCATGACCTCAGTTTTTACCTTGGACCTTGCTTAAAACCTTGTCAATTAACACAATTACCCAGTTATCCTGTCCCACACCGCCATCACTTTCTTAAGCCCTTACTCTCTTTTCCTTTCAGCTTTTCTGGTCCCCGAATTGTCCTATTAACGCCCTATCTCTCATCCCTATTTCCTCTCACCCTTCCACTACGCTCTTATTTCTAACTCCACCTGGTACTAGTCCGGTGTCTTATTCACCTCTCACTTTCAAGAATTTATCCCCATTGCCCACCCTTAACCCATACCTTTCTCAGAACCTCGCAGTTCCCACCCCACCGCCGGTCCTACTCCTTCAGCTCATCTCCCTCGGCACTAGTTCACACCCTTGTCACGTCTGGCTCTTAATCACTCTCTCTCCTCTGCTCCCAACTATTACCCCAGCTCTGCCCCTCCTTGCCTCCCACTTTCAACTCTTACACCAGCAGCCCTCACCCCACTATCACCCTCTACAAAGCTTTCCCCTTCAAACCCTTGCTCTTACACCTAACCCCAGGATCCCTATTCCAAGCCTTGGTCTTCCTAACCCCATTCCCTGCCCGGCTTCCTTAATACCCAACCTGATTTTGCCTCCTTCCTATCTCCTTGGCTGGCTTTTTCTCATTCCTCCTCTCCCTGCCTTCTAACCCTTTCTACCCTTAATCCTCATCTCATTTTAGACCCGTTCCCTGCAACCGCCCCCAAGCCTTCCTTCCCCTATCAAGGATTTTGCCCCGAACCCAGTCGTCGCCCACCCCGCCAAAATCAAGCGCCGGAGCGCCCGTACTGCCGGCTCTCGGCTCCCGCCGGCCCCCGCCCCGGGCGCCCCTCTAGGTGCTGCTTTAACCTTATTCATCAATAAATGTTTTCACAGACCTAACTATGACAGCTGCACGAGAAGCTGGGATATGCAAGTCCCTGGTCCCCAGTCTACCTCCATAAGTACTCAAACTTAGTGAGGGGAAAAGGACAGAAAAAAGGCGTCGGTGTGTGCTAATCTGAATGTATGTCTCAAGGATGAGTGAGGGAGACGCCTGAGGGAATATGTGGCTGGTGAAGGTGCAGCACGTACACCCTTACCCATAAATGCACAGGCTCATGAATACACATGCATGCACGTGTCCATGAGTGCACGAATGCACACACATACACACATTGCACAAACACATAACATATGCACACATCCATAAATGCATGCATCCACATATATGTACCCAGACACACCTGCATGCATGCACACACTGACACAAATGCACATACACATGCACAACCCATGACCCCCGGGCCCCGCATTGCGCCAACGGCGCAGCGCTGGGCACCGACCCCGGCAAAAACGTCCGCTCCGAGGGTTCGCGCCGCGGGCTCAAAGTTTAGGGTCAGCTACAAACGCGAGGCCGACTAGAGCCTAGCGTAAGGGGCGGCGACGTAGAGACACATTGTGAATCTCGGGTTGAAGTTTGGTTGAAGCACAGGAGGGTAAATAAGGAGGTTTCCAGACAAAGAGACTCTTAAAGGTACCGAGTCTTCTGTCTGTCCCTCCTCCTTAAAGGGCCAGAGACTCTCCCGAGCCCATCTCCGCCCCCTTCTTCCATGCTCGTCAGTCGCGGAACAGTAAAAGAATTTTACATTAGTTTCCCGCGCTCTTTTTTGGAACACCTTTAACATCTCTCCCACTGCCAAGGAGAAAAGCCTTTTCACTATCTTATGTTTTCGTTTTGTTTGTTAAAAGACTAAGTTAGTTTAATCGTGTCGTACCGAAAGAAACAGCCTCCAAGCCGGGGGGTTTCCTGAGGCAGCGTTTGCAAAAGTTACTATTGGCTCCCAGAGGGGTGAGCACTTGTCTGACTTTTGCCACTGATGACCCAGACGGGATTCTGCTGCTTTATGGAAATTTCCGCCAAGGAAGAGGTTTGCTCCGTAAACTGAAGACATTCAGCAGATCGTGGGGATGTAGACTATAGGAAAACAGAACGGCGGCTATTTCTACAAGTCTTTTTCTACCTCTTGGATGCATTGTCCTGACATAACTTGCGTGGCGGGGGTTGGGGAGTGACGTTACCCCAAATAAGACGAACACTGTTACATCACCCAACACATGGCTAAAGCAGGTAAAGGCTTACACTTAAGTATAAGGACAAGGAAAAAATAAACGTGAGTTATCAACTACACTGGCTCAAGGCTACATCCTTGTAAATATGAAATAAAGGACAAAAGCCAAAGAACAACAATATAAGAAGCGGGAAACAGCATGTGCACCTGTAAGAAACTACAATGCCTGGAGCCAAACGCAATTAAGCGTGAAAACATTTCCAAAAGTAATTAACATGAGCATTAAGAGGTTTGATAGGAGAGGACCTGGTGATTGATTTGGTAAGATGTCATGCGGTTTAAGAGTTCAGAGTTAGATCTAAAATTCAACATTCTCTTTATTGCCTATCACCTTTAACATAATTCTCTTTAAGGAATTCTTATATTATAACTCCTAATTATCTATTTTCTCCCCTCGCTCCCCAAATACTCTCTTCGAGAAAATCTTGAAGAATAAAGATTGTATTTTACTCAATATTAATTCCCTAACAAAGAGCCTGACACATAAAATAGGTGTTTTTGTTGAGTGAAGGATTTCGGAGACACTTAAGAGGTCTGAAGGAAGGGGTGCTCTCAGAATAGCAATCCAGGGGGAAAAGATTCTCAGTGCTGTAAGCATGTTTTAGAACAGTGGTTCTCAAAGTGTGCCCTGGGGTCCATGGGATCAACACTATTTTCATAATAATAAGACATTATTTGCCTTTGTCACAGTGATGACATTTGTATTGATACAAAAGGATGGGTAAAATTGTTGTTGCCTTAGCACAAATTAAGGCAATGGCACTAAATTGTACTAACAGTCAAGGTATTCTTCAGTGATACCCATTAACAGGAAAAAACAAGTTTCACTTAAGGAATACCTGATGAAGCACTAAAAATTATTTGCTTTATATTTAAGTACACATCTTTTCAATAATACTATTCTATAGATGTATGCACAAATGTTTTTCTTGAGAAAAAGCACTTGTACAGTTTCTCTTAATTTTGAGCTGAATTAACAACTTTGTGGAATGCCATTTTTATTTGAAAGAACAGCTAACAGATAAACTAAAGTGATTCAGCCTTGGGTATCTGACAGATATTTTCTCAAAAATAAAGAAAGTAATCCTGACAGCATCTGTTAGCAATGATCAAATTCAACCTCTCAAGCAAAACTTAGAATTTGAAAACTTTTATCTGCAACTGTGAGCTTAATAGCTTCCCAAGACTCTTATAATGAGATTAGTGGTGATATTAACAAATACGATTTTTTGCTATTGTATGATAAAATGTGTCAACATTTAAAAGATCTGCAATATTTTCCAAATGACCAATGCATGATACTATAAAATCACTCATTGGTAAAAGAGCCCTTCAAAGTGCGAAATAAACCAATGAATGGTTAATAGAGTACAAAAAGTTCACTGGTAAGAGTCTGAGATTCCACACTGCAACTAACCTTTAGTGGAATTGTGATGTAGTATCAGAGTATCCACAATTATCTGAAAAGATTATTAATATACTCCTCCCCTTTTCCAACTGTGTGAGGTTGGATTTTCTACATATTCTTCAATCAAAACAACAAATTTCAACACGTTGAATGTAGAAAGATATGAGAATTCACTCTCTTCTATCATGCCAGACATTCAAGTGATTTGCAAATATAAAACCACTCTTTC